GCGGTACAACATAAGGTGAAACGGAGTATAGCTGGAGTATACGTTCCTCGATTATGCATTATTTCGTCACATTTGTGTTCACAATAATTTCATAATTTGATACTGATATGTGTTCAATTTGTTATAATGCATTAAACAAGATATATTTATATATCTGTGATGTTATTTTGAGGTCTAGGTGCGAGGCTACTCCCTGTAGCTGTTGAGGGAGCTCGGCAAGCTCCGTTTAAGACAGGACCGAAAGGGACCTTTATGTACCGTGAGATCACGATCTCCGGCTCCCTTTACGACAGGTGTCTGGGCTTAAGGTACCTTTACGCTGCCGTGTGATTCGGGTATAAGTGCACGCCGCTAAAGTGGCGAATATAATTTCTCAGCAGGGCAGGTAAATTGCAAGTTACATGCATATTTATTTTGCGCACCTGTGCAATTTCTCTACGGGCTTTTGATGTTTCTATATATTGGAGCTAAACATTTAAGTCTTTTTTTCGAATGACCGTAAAATTGGAAAATTTTCAACAATTCTAGTAGATGAAGAATAAACAATTAACACTGGAACATTACAACCACAACCACATGAAAGATGTGGTCCTGTTGTTTTAGTGTGAATTGTTTATTCTTTCTTAATCCATCACCTGAACCAACACGCCCTTCTCCCAAGCATAGAATTCTAGTAGGCTGTCAGATATCTACTGTCTTTATCGATGACTTCCTTCTCCTGTAGTGCTAAAATATACTATAAAACGTGTTCTCCAATCAGCATCACTGCATACAGACGATGAGCTGTCGGCTGTCAGTATACGCGCTGTCTCTTTCTGCTGCAAAAAGATTCACCCTTCTTTTGTCCCACCTTAGAAGTACATCGCTGCACGCAACAACACGGCCTTTTCATCAACATTAGCAAATACTCTGACTTTGATTCATTTATCCATTTGTGCGTTTTAAGCGTCGATGTAGCATCGTACATACTACATGGAATAACGCAGCGCAGGAGGCAAGATGGTAGCCGCGGCCAGGGCCACTTGGAAACAGGAAATGACCGAGGGTGCAACACCTGCTCGCAGCTCGAAAGTGGAGTCACTAAACAAGCTACGTACGCTTCAGAGTACTGGCACTTCAGCCATATTGGTGCTTAAAGTAATTGGTGTCGGTTATCTAAAGCTTTAGCTGAAATCGCAAGAAACGCTTTTCAGTCCTCTACTCTTGAAGTGTTAGGACGGTGTACGGTGAAGAAAAACGACATATCCTGGGCGCGTTGACACTGTAACTAAAGTTAAGAAGTTGCATTTTGCAATGATAACTATCGCTTGCACCTGCTCTGCACTGAACGACAAAATGGCGGCGCCCGATCATGGAATAAAGGGTCGATACTTGATGGCTCTAGGTGAAGCCTTTGTCGTTTGCTTTCGACCCTAGCCACCTGATAAACATATTCAGTATCTGCGACAAAAAATAATAATAAAATTTTTCAACCTGCAAATAGTAATATATACTGTAAACAACTTAATTTTTGCGAGGACCTAATTTTCGCGAATTTCGTGAATCGCCTACAATTCGCGAAAAATAGGTCCCGCGAACAATTCTAGTAAAATGTAGACATATTGAAATCTATAATGAGATCCTACCGCGTCGCGAAAATAAAAACCCGCGAATTATTCCGAAATTTCAGCTTTGACCGAAATCGCGAAATACTGAGCCCGCGAAAAATAAGTCGTTTACGGTATATATATATAGAGAGAGAGAGAGAGGGGGGGGGGGGTGAGGCAAAACGAGAATGGGTGACGCTTACGATTATATCCTGAATGTCTTCTATTGGTGTGGCGACGGCAAAACAATGTTTTCGCCCGTACTGGAGGTGACGACATTCAAGATGGCGGCGCCTTTGTGGAAAAGGTGTGTAGGGTTTCTGTCCAAGAGATGGCGCTACTCCAGAAATATGAGTCCCCATTCACACGGTCATAAAGGTAACTTTAGCTAAGGGACCTTATGGCCAATTCCACTGGTCGTTTTGGAGCGCGCCGGGATTGACTTTTCTGGAGCGAGCCTATTTCACTGGGCGATCGTGATCGAGACCGACGTGTTTCACTGGTCGTTTTGGATTAGTTCCCGCTCCAGATGTCGATCTGGATCCGAGAAAAGTCGCTCCCACGATTTCGGCGGATTCAGCCGGAAGCCAGCCGGGCCAGCACTCGGCGCACACACGTGACTTCCTTTCTCGTGGGGCATCTCGCCTGATCTCGCCCATCTCGCCTCAGAAGAAGAAGAAGCACGTCGCGGGCTGGGCTCCTAGATTGCCCCCCCCCCCCCCCCCCCCCCTGCTCGCCCCCCTGCTCGGTTGGAAAACAAATGGGCGTGACGGCTATTCCTAGGCGGCAACAGGCGCGGAAGCGGGTTCGATTTGTTTGTCGCCATGCCAGCCCACTGTGTTGCGCTTGGTTGCACGAATTATTTCTACGGCAAAGAGAACGCCAAGTTTTTTAGATTTCCGTCGGCCAGGCTGTATCCTGTGAAGAGAGAAGCTTGGGTAGCTGCCGTGAGGAGAAGAAACACAGACGGCTCACCATGGCAGCCGAACGAGCACTGCCGGATCTGCAGCGCGTATTTTGTCACGGGCACGTCGATTTTGTACGCTCCTGAAAATTTCGCTTGATTATAACTTGAAATTGAATTCTAGGGCGGCCGTCAACCTTCCAGAAACACCCCGACTTCGTGCCGACAATCTTCAGCCACACGAAGATTTTGAAGCACCGGGAATCTCCATTTCCCGGTGAAGCACCGGGAAATGGAGAAGAGGAAGCACGGAGGACAGCTTGCGTGCACGAGCTCCAAGGCAAACCAAAACCATGCAGCACGAGTTGTTTTCCAACCACCTTCTAGCCTCGCACCCACGTTTCCGGCGTTGCGCGATAGGTGGCGCGCACTTTTTTGCAAATCGTCAATTCGCAATGGCCGCTTGCTTACCCCTTGGCTCGACAGCCGATTCGTTTTCCAGGAAGAAGAGAAGGTATTTGCCGCGCTACGGGCATTCCGGCAATCTTTGCTAGAAGCGCCTGAGCCACTGTAGCCTGAGCCATTCCTGCCGCTCGTGCGTCGAACAGGTGTTAGCGGAGCGATTGCGAAAACGTCTTCGAAACGACCGCAGCGGCCGCGGAAAGGGGATTCCCGGGCAGTTGAATGACGGGAAGGCATCCGCCGATCCCGGAGCAGTGGTCATGTTCAACTGGGGATTCGTAGGTGGCGCGACCCCGTTCGAATTGTGTGCTCCCCTCCGGATCTGGAGTGCTATGTTGCGCTTTTTGCACTCCCAGGAGACTTGGGAGAGGGAAGTGACGGCAACGACACAGCAAACGCAGATTGGATGTTGACAGAAGAAAACGAAATCAACACCCAATCTGCGTTTGCTGTGTCGTTGACGTCACTTCCCTCCCCCTAGTCTCCTGGGAGTGCAAAAAGCGCAACATAGGCCCCCTGGTCAACTGATCCCGGCGCGCTCCAAAATGAAACGATTTTTCTACTTCTTCCTCCTTAGCTTTAATCCTCAACTCAAATGCGAATTGTGAAATAACGTCGTCGTGACATTCTTCGGCACCGGTGCGATGACTTCTAGCTTCCACCGTGCTTTTTATGTACATCATGGAACTGGTCCTTCCCCAGTGGCGATAAGTTCCGTCAGGGCGCTCATTGACCACGAACGCGAATCCAAATATTCGTCGACGGATTGATTGTTGACCAGCGCATACGTCCGAGTGACGCAGTTCTCGTGTCCAATGCGTGAGCTGGGCTCGGCTGACGTCAGGTTGGCACCGCTGACGCGCTTTTGGAACCGCAGATATATCACAGTGAAAAGGCGGAGAGCTTTCGAAGCAGAGAAGGTACAAAATAGTCCGCTATATTTTCAAATGTTCGTCCCGAAAAGCTGGCTTTTGACTTTCTACCCTCTTTCTTTTGGCCAACTAAACGATATGTGATTAATAAAGTCCCAATTTAAAATCATTTATCCCAGCCCAAAATTCGTTTCATGGACCCTTTAAATTCTCTGCTGCGAATCAGTTCGCGATTCTCTGCGCATGGCGTGTGCTCGAGACCTAAGATCGCGGGCTGATTCACCGATTGCAAAGGGACATGGGGTATCACAGGCACTCTATGGAGGCTATATTCACTGGACGTCGTATTTGAGTGTGTTTTTCGATGTGCATGAGTAAGTGAGGAACCCTATTTAATAAAGGAATCGATACACCGCCATCTCTCGATAATTTGATGAAATGGTGACGGGGGAAGGGGGAAGGAAAATATGGAAAGTGAAGGGCGAGAAGCAAATTGTAATAGGCAACCCCTGATGAGCCGACGAAACTAATCAGGGAATCAAGATTGTGCCTGCGATACGGGTACGCTCGAGCCTGGGGCGGGCTCAGTCCTCGTACGTGACTGGCCTTGCTTCTTCCGGGAGTGAGGTTTTGCTCAGAACGAGCTCACTTTTATGGACTGCTAAGACCGGCCATCTCGATGGTGTAAAATGCACGCTGCCAAAAAAACTCTGAAAGCTCGCCATCAGCACGCGCTCAGAGACGTTTTTCGTTCCTGTCGATCTCAGTCACGTGGGTTCCGTATCTGGTATGCTGGACGAAAAAATAATAAAGCATTTCAACCTCGGGTATGCGATAAAATATAGATGAGACACAATAAGAATGTGTGGCAATCAGGCATTTTTCGAAAACACCATTTTGGCAAGATCAAAACGATATTTTACCGCATACCAGAAGTGACGACATTCAAGATGGCTGCGCCCTTGTGGAAAAAGGTGTATAGCCTCATAATCAGCCGCTGCCTCTCTTGTCAGATACCCGAAGGAAAAAAACAACAACGTTAAAGCTCCTTATCACTTTTACGCAAAGCTCACTTCAGATATACCCCGCAGTATCTCTGAATAGCGGAGGGGCGCCCCGCTCAGGAGGCTGTTCTTATTTGTTCGGCGCTATCTCCAGACTGCGTGAAGCGTTCAGTGAGCCCGAGATCCAGACGGAGGCGACGGCCGAGCGCCAGGATGAAGGCATCCGTTCCGTGCACACCGGGTACGTTTCCGTCGAGCCGCTATGCGGAGAGCAATTCGTCTGCTCCTTGTGCACGAGTTGCGGTGATGTCAGCAAGACGCCGAGCTCCGATTGGCTTTGATTGGAAGGATAGTGGGTAGACCTCAACCCTAGATGCCTCGAGGTCTACCCACTACTTCTTTTTCCAGTCAGCCAATGAGAGCTCGGCGTTTTGACGTCATCGCAATCCCCGAGCAAGAAGCAGGCGGACTTTCACTCCGCAGAGTCCGTTTTCCAAGAAGTTCTGCCGCGGCCGACGCCACGGTCCGCGACGAAGCCAATCGAACAGCGACAGAAGAGCATCGTGACGGCGCTCGTTGCCTGTGCAGAGTCGCGGCGCATTGACTGTGCGTGAATGCGCACAGTGGATCGCGCAGCCCCGCCTGGTCGCTGCAGTGCAGGTGCAGCCGCCGGAAGTTCCGCGAATTGGCCATCTTGGGGCGAGCGTAAAAATCTGCCAGGTGAAGCGCCGCGGGGGCTGGGCGACTGCTTGTTCAAAGACACGTTTTCTGCTCGTTCGCCGTTATTTCCGCCGAAGAGGTCTTTTTGAAAACCCGAGGTAAACGCGGTCGCAGTGCTTTGAGAACCTGTGGAAATTTTCTTAGGAAAACGCAGCAGCGCGTATGGAAAGAGGCACAACTCGTCGAACGCGAGTCTCGCTGCCTGGTGGCGTTATCACCACCAGGCAGGCACAACTCTGCTTTCGTACGCTTGGATACCGATCAAGAATCGACGCAGCGTTAATTATTCGGAAAATAATTGCGAATTCAGTGTGCGTGAAGGTGTGTGTGCGCCTCTGGTGCAACGCTTTACTTTACTTCGGCGACTCTATTTTAACTTGGGGCCCTCGAGGTCTAGAAACTCCCGTCTTGCGCTTCTCCACTGTGTTGCTCTCACTGTGTTGCCGTATGACGTGAGTAATTTGGATCTATAAGAGTAGATTTCGAACATGACCATAGATGAAGGTGCTCGATAGGAACCACTGTTTTTTTTTTTTTTTTTCATTTATTTAGTGATAATTATTGATCAGTGATAGCAACTCGCCAGAACAGCTAGACGATTAGACGATCCACAACTCCGCTGTATGGAGCAAAGACATGCATGTACTACGCGCGACGCAGTTTGAAAACTTTCTCAAAGGGTTAACACATCGGCATCGATTCTTGATCGGTATCAAAGCGTGTGAAAGGCACAGACGCGCAGCACTTCGGAGTGCCAAGGCACGTCCTGTGATCACGCAGCCCTACCGCGAGACTTTCGTTCGACGAGTTGTGCCTTTTTCCTGTGGTTCTGCGTTTTCGTAAAACTTTTCTACGGGTTCTCGAAGGCAGCTAACACGGTTTACACTAGAGCCACTAAATGAGCTGCGCTTAGAGTATCGGCACTCCTTTCCCATACATTGTTGTGGACGCCGCCATTTTGGCTCGTATTCAGAGCAGACGCAACTGCCGATCGTCATGATTCAAAACTGCGACTTCCTCAGCATTGGATTCGGTGTTAGGAAGCTCATGTAATATTACCTTGCTCTGTCGCGAACTGTTTAAACATTTGTGGAGGGCGGAAAATCGTTTCCTTTGATTTTAGATAAAGCTTCAGATAACTGGCAACCATGATTTTAAGACACAATATGAAGTGTCATTACTCTGAAGCGTAGCTTATTTAGTGCCACTAGTTTACACGAGGTTTTCCAGAACGACTTCTGCGAATGACGGCAAACAAGCAGAAAACGTATCTTTTAGCACGCAGCCACCCAGCCTCTGCAACGCTTCATCCGGCGGATTTTACGGGTGCTCAACATGGCCGATCCGGAACTTCCGGTGGCCGCATCCGCGAATAGACCCTTTTCAAAAGTCCGCGCGCCAAAGCCTGTCTGCCATTGCTTGATCAGATACCCTGAGAGTCTATTTGACACGAAGGCTGCGTCTGTGTTCGGCGTAAACTCGGCTCAGCTCGTATCGAAAATGAGCGCTGCGTCAGCTTTCCGTGAGAACTCGGATCCAATCACGCCCTTCGTGTCCAAACAATGGCGACCACCAATGTTGCTTGATGCACTTTCGAAAGGGGCCTATTGTAGTCGTCAAACTACGGTCCACACTGAGCGAGGGAGGAGGGGGAGAAGCGTCCCTGTCGTCGTTTTCTACGTGAGATCCGTTGCATTATTAGGATATTTTCGTAGAACATCATCTGCTGTGGATAGCGGGCCCTTCGGGTGCGTGTTCAAACCAGGCTCAACGTGGCGCCACGAGCATTTACAGACTTTTCAAATAGGAGGCCCCAACGCTTTGTGCAAAGTGACTTTAGCCCCCGCAGCTTGGGGGGCGTTGCACTGCACATGCGTAGAACTTCTGGGCATGCTGAGGACACCCCAAGTGGCTCGGGGCAAAGTTCGCTCGGAGGACCAAAAGTGTCGGAGCCCCCTGCAGGAACAATTTCCAACCCTGCCCGTTTCGATTACACGACCGGCGGTCGTGTAATCACCGATGCATGTGCGACGCATGTAAAGACTCCAGGATATCCGTGGGACTGGATAAAGTTCTCATCTGCTGCGTGTTGCCACTCTGTTTAAACATCTAAGGCCTAATGTGTTGTTGTTCATATTGTCTTCTCTCTTGAGCCGCGCGATAGACTTCTTGATAAGCCGACGTAAAAAAGGTAGCGGCTTCATGTGTTGATAATTTGACGCATATAGAGGGGCGAGTTGGAAAATCCCCTCACCCTCACCCTAGGAAGCAAGCGAAGGCGGCCTGTGTTCGGCTCTTACCAGTCAAAAGGAAAAGGAGAAACCACGAAAATGCACGATGGATGCTTTCGGGCGTCCCCTTTGTAACGAGAGGTAACTTGCGCCCCTTTCTGCTTAAAATCATTGTTGCCAATCGTCTCAAGCTTTATCTCAAATCGCAAGAAACGCTTTTCCGTGCTTCAGAAACGTTAAAACAGTCCGCGACCGAGCAAAGCAATATCGCCTGAGCTTCTTGACACCGTGTATAAAGATAGAAAATCGCATGTTCGAATCAAAACCATAGCATATTACGCCCTCTCTGCACTAAGCACCAAAACGGCGGCTCCCCAACGTAATCGGGGAATGAAGTACCGGTCTGGGCTGCTTATCTACCACACTGTATCACGAACATACAGCCTATTCGCGACTCCAGCTTACAATAGGTGGCGCCACTCGTTTTCCAATATAGCGGTTATAGTGAGGGTCGGAGATGCGTGCCGCTGCTGAGCCTGTCTAATGTGCTGGCTTCACTGAGTGACACAAATTATTTCAGGTAATACCAGGAAGATAGGTTGTTATAAGTGCAGGTTACCTCTTTATCCTGAAAACAAAAACGGTGTTTAGCGTGAAACTTACCCCAGGAGGCACGTTTTAATTCTGGAGCAAGACCGAAACTAACCTCTATTTCGGATTCGATTTCTCGATATAGGTCTTGATTTCGAATTCTTTCATAAGCCAATATGTGTCTCACATCGTAAATATTTAGTTAAAGAAGTTTTTCGCGGAGGCTTTATATTGTGACATACATATTAGATTCAGGCACTTCAAAATATTTTGGGGATTTCAGTGTCCCTTTAAAGACAGGGTCTTTTATATGCCTTATAGGTAACATAAAATATTGTAGTTATTGAACACATCTGTTCTGATATTTCCGCGTTCTCGCTGCCTTTTCTTGCTCAGATTATTGCTATGTGAAATAATGAACGTCGGGCCTTTGAATGGGTTTTGGGTATTTAGAGGATTCATTGCTTTGACATTATTCCCCGCACAAGAATAACAGAATAAATCCAATTTGTGCAATATGTCCACAAAACGTACAAAGTAATAAACGCTGTTCTCACTAAAACAACCCAAAGACAGAATCCGAATCAGACAGCTGATGTGTCTGTTTTTTTTTTGTTTTTTTTTTTTTTTTATAGAAACGCGTGGCGCATAGGACTTTATATTGCATCCAGTGTTTGACTGTTTGTCTATCTTGATAACGATGTCAGAGTTTTTCATTTGCTAAAAAGAAAACAAAATTATACCTTTCTAGAAAGACTATTATGGTTAAATGACATATTCTTGTGATCGTGGCGTTACTTGGGGGCAAATATTGCCGTGCTTTGTAATAATATTAATAATATTAAAATTCAGATATTTGAATACGCAATTGTTCAAGCTCTAATATAATTTGTTGCTTATTATCTTATTTAAAACACGCGAACAAGTATTACAGTCAGAAGTGTGTTAAATATTATGACTGGTTCCAAATGCAGTATTTTTAATTGCCAAGTTATAAAATAAAAATAGTCTAAAACCAATCAAAACGTTCTCGCTAATGTGAGAAATCCATGAAAAATTACATTAATTCTGGGTAAAGCATATTTTGCTTCGCCGCCAAAATCCTGCTAAACAAAATGCCCCCAAATAAAAAAAAAAAAATATATATATATATATATATATATATAGCAGGGTGTCGAACCGGAACCGAACCGAACCGAAAACCGGAACCGAACCGGTATTTTTTCCGGAACTGAACCCGAACCCGAACCGTTATATTGTTATCGCGATGAACCCGAACCGGAACTGAACCGGAAAAAAAATAACGGTTACCGGCTCATGTCAAAACGGTTCGGCCACGCGCTGTTGACAATGAATGTGCTATCAATGCCATTTGTTTTTTAAGTGCCGTCAACTGACACACACCTCGCTTACATATTTTTCTTCTCCACTCAGTCTTAGGAATATAAACGCTGCATCCATAAATCTTGACAAATGCTGCATCCATGAATCTTGACATAGGAACCAGTATTGCCGTATTGCGCTGGTCGCGGCTTGCACGGAAGAAAGAGAATGGGAAGGCTGTGCAAAAAAAAAAATCGCGTCACGGGATTTTATTTTCCTACAATCTCGTAAATCCTAAATGCTGCTGTGTGCTCATTTCATAACACGTTTCTAGAACGTGCGAGTTCTTGAAGCTTGCTTCCGTCGGAATGAGAAAAGAAAAGGCTGTGGAGTTTGATAATAATGCATTCGGTTTCGTATAGGCACTTAGAAGCTAACATATTTGTGAGACAGAGAACTCTTCTATTTTAATATTTATCCTATTACGTCCTTCTGGCGTTGCGTTCGGTGAAGTGTTTTTCATATTCCGTATCTTGTTTAATGAAAACTTCTTTAAGGGTCTAATTTGAGTTACCAAAGGCTAGTTCAAATAAAGAAAGCTGTATTTTCTCCCCACTGTTCTTTCAATTGCTTACACGCCGAGGTGGCGGGATAGTTAGCGAGTTCCACTTGTAAGTGGGTTTGTAAGGAGGTCGCGGATTTTACAGCTACTGCGTCGGACCCAATTAGATGAAGTCCGAATGCGAAAACGTCGGTGACGTAACCTTTGAGTGCACATAAAGAAACCATTTCTGGTAGAAATCCCTGAGCCTTACACTACGATGTATCTCGTTTCGTATGTGCTGATTTCAGATGTTTTATTTGTAATTTATTTTGATGTTGCAATTTGTCATTTATAATTTCCGAACCGGTTCGCGGATCGAATTAATCGAACCGGAACTGAACCGGAACTAAATAAATTTACCTGAACCTGAACCGTAACCGAACCCGAATTTTTTTCGGTTCGACACACATATATATATATATATATATATATATATATATATATCGACCAACACCCTGTTTACAAACAAGCCGGGGTTTGCCCACCGGGTGAGGGCACTGCGCGCGCGGAGAAACAAGATTCACCCGAGGCGAAGCATCTGCGCATGCGCAGTGCCTAGAGCAGCGCCACCGCATCGGCGTGACGTCAGAGAGTTGAGTTTGTCTGTATATTTATTGTGGGCTTTGCGGCCCATCATCGGGCAAAAAATCCTGTGCTCCGCGCCCGGCGCGCAACGTGCGCGCGAGCCACGCTCGAGGCTCGGGAGTCCGTTCGCTGCAACGAAGTAAAGGTGTGTTCTATGAGATCTGCCTCGTTGGTCCTTCTTGCGGGTGAGCAGTAGCACCGAACCCTACATTATTTGGCGCTCCACGCGAGGTGCTACTGCTCACCCGCAAGAAGGACCAACGAGGCAGATCTCATAAAACACACCTTTACTTGTTCGTTGCAGCGAACGGTCTCCCGAGCCTCGAGCGTGGCTCGCGCGCACGTTGCGCGCCGGGCGCGGAGCACAGGTTCTTTTGCCCGATGATGGGCCGCAAAGCCCACAATATATATATATATATATATATATATATATATATATATATATATATATATATCAGGGATGGGCAGTATTTCAAATACGTATTTCAAATACTTTGTGTATTTTGCTTTTGTATTTAATTACAAATTGGGTAATGTATTTGACGTGTGTATTTAAATACTAAAACGTGGGTATTTCAAATACAATTGTAATTAAATACAATTTTGTGGGCGAAAATACATCCCTCAAATTTATTGTCACTGTCCAGAGCAGGAAGAAAACTACGTTCTGAACCGAATGCAGTGTCTCTCAATCAACCACAAGCCTTTAGTGACTTTGTGATTACGGTGCTAGTCCAGGGCAAGAATAGTGACGAAATCAACGTTCACAGGCAGACTGGCTTATTAAGTGCCTGTGACAACTTGTGATCCTTTCCAGCCGGATTTCCTTCCATACTTTTGCCTTGGACATTCTAAATGTGCGGGTCATCCAGATTTTCGTAACTGGTGCGAGTTGCAACAATAAAAAATTTTCTAGCTAGTGCTGCGCGTCTTGGTCGTCTCGGTTCTTTGTGGGCCTATATCAAAATGTAATCGACAAAAAAAGCTGCTTGAAGCTCTGTACTTTTTTCACCTACTGCGTCCAAGCTGATTACATTTTTTGTGATTATATTTCTATTACGTTACTAGAGCCTCGCTCACTAACTCCCGAGTGTGCGATTCAAAATGAAAATGAGATATCAAGAAACCCGTTGCAGGTGCCCTGAAGTCGCTGACGCAAATTTTGAGGAATGTATTTGGAAAAGTATTTGGAGGAGACCAAATACATTTGGTTGTATTTGTATCTTGTATTTAAATGCTTTTTTGGAAATGTAATTAGATTTGTAATTAAAAACATTTTTTGACGAAGTATTTTGTATTTGCATTACGATACATATATTTGCATGTATTTTGCCCATCCCTGATGTATATATATATTAAATTACCAATCTTTTTATAGCATTTAGTCACCTTCACTTTCACGCGCCGTCGTTTTGTCAATCTCAGCCTTTCCAGTTGGAAGGAACGCCTACCTGCTTGCACGTCCGCTCACTGCAGCACGTTTTGTTGGCGTTGGGAGCCGGTGAAACAGCTAGTTGTGAGTTTTACGAAGTATCTGGCACATCGACGACGGAGCCATAGAGCACGCGGCCGCAGGAAAAAGGAGAGGAGGAGCGCGCCGAACGGTGACCAATATGGTAGCGCAGAGCAGAAAGGGCAGACCTAGACAGCGAGCGCTTGGGTCATGAGCGGCCGCTCCCCGAACTACGCTTGTTTTTGTGTTTTCGTCACCGTCGTTTTTGTACTCCGGGAGAAACGGGCGCGGCGATTCGAAAGGGCGCAGGGAGAAACGGGAAAGGGTGGACGTTGAGTTTCTCCTCTCCACGATAGCAACAAGAAAAGAGAGAAAAAAAAATTGTTTCTGCGTTTGGCCGCTCGCTCTTTAGTGGCGCTAGCGGGCAAGGTTCTCTCCGCTCCCGTTTCTCCGCCCCTCCTTTCCCATTTACGGCGGCCGTCTTTTCACGCGACGCGCCAGGCTTTCTCCGTATAGAGGAGGCTATGGTATTGCGTATACAAGCGAACGCAAGCGCTGTGTATTTGCGTTAGCGAGTGCGCGGAACCCAAATTGCGGTCTTGGATTGGCGCATGGCGATAAGGCGCACACACAACGTGGGGCACGCAACTCTAACGCAAACGCACAGCGCTTGCGTTTGCTTCTATACGAAATACTAAAACTTTCTAGTAAGGTGCATTTCAATACCGGCTGCAGCACTACGTTGGGACAGTGAAGAGTCTTGTTTGCATTGGAAAATGACATTTCGCGAGCCATAATCGCGCGCAGTTCCGCCGTGCCCGCTGAACAAGAGAATCGGAAGACCCTCACTAGTGCGCTTCCCGTTTCCGCCGCGGGAGGGCGAGCGTCGAGCTGAAGACGCGAATACCCGTTTTCACCTCAAGAAAAAAGCAAGTTTTGCACATTGTTCATACGCGGTGGGAAGTAGTTTTTACGAGATATGTTTATCGAAGAAAAAGAAATGCTTTTGTCGTTTGGAGCCTGTACGTCTTGGTAAGACAACATTTATAGTCTAAAATTCACCTGCATCTATCTTCATTATTCACATAAAGGGGGAAATTAGTGACGCTCAGCGACAAGCCGGACTTGTTTTACGTATACGGTTCTTCAGGTGAAAACGGGTATGAATGTTCGAGACTGACCCGTCAAGGTCATGTTGGCCTTCTTATATATTACACTCGGGGTAACAGTGAACAAGAATTTTCTAGAAATACAGAAAATCCTCCCCTCTCGGTCACGCACGCGGCAATATGCACACGCGCAGACGGGCCCGGCCCGGTTAAATGCTTATTGGTTGCGGACCACGTGGAAGCCGGCTTCTCCGCACGTGCAGATACATTTCTCGAATTTTTGCCTGAACTATAGAGCATCTCCCAAAACTCTAGCAGGTACGCGAAAAAATCACGGCGGGCTGTTCGCGCTGGTATTGTCTGCGATAGCACAGGAAAGTGTTGGTAAGGAAATAAACTTTGTTGCCCCTCTCCTCGATGGTATGACCTCAGTGCCGTCGGAGAAGAGGCAGTGCTGTGAAAAACGACGAGGGAGCGAGCGAGAGAAATACGACCCAAGAACTGAGCTTGTAGATGGTTGAGCGTGTTGGTTATTAATTTACGATAAGGAAAGAGGGATATTGAAGACAAACAGACAAGACAGGCTTTCGTGTCTTGTCTTTTCTTGTCTGTTTGTCTTCAATGTCCCTCTTTCCTTATCGTAAACTGAGCTTAGGACATGATTTTCGATTACCTCAGAGCTCTCAAGTTTGAACAGCACCTCTAGCAGGCAAAGTTTCATCTTTTGATCGCTTTTTGGTTGTGCGTCATTAAACTCTCCCACGTTGGTCGCAAAAGCTAAGCTGGCAGTATCTCATTAATAAATATAAATATTAAAAAAAAACGCAGGAAGGCAACAAAAACGCGTTTTTATCTTTTTAAATAGGACACTGAAAGCGCGATCTGCTATATTTTTGTTGACTTTTAACTTTTCTTTAGTTCTTTCAGACGCTCTGTTACTGCGCACAGACAGAGGCTGAGACATACTTGTAAGCAACCGTGGCTCTTTTCGGATTATCGAGCGCTGCAGTGCCGCTTTATCATCGACGCAAACATTACAGAATCGCTACTTAGGGGCACTTTCGCGCCCCCCTGCACGAGAGAAACAAGTGTATTGGTGGAGCGAGCAATAATCCCTCCACGTCCTTCGAGACGCTCGTAGAAACTTGGGCCTCCTTCTACTTTTATGCGTAAGACGGGGTTTTCGTTTTGCGCTGTGTCCGCAAAACAATGTCGCCACTAAAAAAAAAAGAGGATTTTTTTTTCTTTTTATGCTTAATGGTAACTCTGTCGCAGGGGGTAGTGCACAAGGGAGGCTTGCGGCTGGCAACGGTCAGGGAATCCTGGTCTTTGAGGCTACGGACGACGACTCCTCGGGCCCCCTTCTCCTGGAGCGAGGCAACGCGATGCTTCTGCACTTACCCCGTGAGATCAGATCGCAGTTTCGACCTTTTAATCTATATTTGCCAACCACAAATAGACACCAAGAAGCACACAAAACCAATAACTGGCATCGCTTTAGTGATACCAGTCATTGGATATTGCTTGAGATCACAGTCGAAATATTACGTAAAAGTGAAGCCGCGTACTCCACCAAAGCCGATTTTAAAGGGGCGGTGCAACAATTTGCGGACTTTGGCTAATTAATTGCGGGAATTGATCCCGGCCACATATAAAACGAAGGACCGAAAACTCTTCTTTCCTGCTTGCCCTAGTTTTCATTAAAAAAAAATAAAAGAAATTGGTATCTCTGGCACCCCTCAACTCTACATTGAAGCGGCACCAGCTTCGCCTGTGACGTCATTCGGAGTGGCGTTGGTTTCCGGTTGGGTGCTTCTGGCTTCCGTTTCCCCAGCGCTCGCCGGCTCGCCAGGTACGCCAGGCTCGCCGCTCTCCCGTCGATTCCCGACCAACATGGCGGCATGGGCGGACGGCCTGAGTGACGTCGAGCGCAAGATGCTTGCGTATAGTAAGTCAGTTGGACTTATGCGGCGGGCAGTCGAGGCTGCGGGCAGTCGAAGTCGAGGTCGAGACACCAGGAACAATAACGATACCACGATACTACGGACCACGACCAACGCACTCCGTCGAGGGAGGGAAAGACAAAACGTCCGGGTTGCTCGTGTAGCCGCCGTAGGCGCCTCGGGCGTCGACGGATGACTGCGACGGCAGGTTTGGTTGACTTGCGGTAGATGGCGCCACAAATCTTTTAGCGGCAATATTAGACTTTTGGAGCGTTTCTACATGCCTAAACAACAAGATTTTTTAAACTTAACCTTAAATCAAGCTTACAATTGCCTAACACTGTCACTTACAAAAACCACTCCGAATGACGTCACACCACAGGTTCCATTTGCGGCCACCATGTGGCCGCAGGTTGTGAAAAAAAGTGTTTTTTATTTTGCGATTACGCAGCGAAATAGAGGTATTTTGGGGTATGATGGCACTTTTTCTCTTACTTATGCCGAAATAAACAATATAAAAAATACAAGCTGCACATTCGTTCAGTGTTAAAATCATTGCACCGCCCCTTTAAGGGGATGGTGAACCGAAATTTGGATTAAAAAAAAAAACAATGCTGGAGATGTAGGCGGGACGCTACAATCCCTACAACACTACTAGGAAGGCGATATCTCAAATGGACGGCCGTATTTTTCGAAAAAGAAGTCGAGATTGAACCAGGCCGACGAGGCGCGTTACCCCCGTCAAGATACCTAGTTTCCTCCTCTCTTCGCTTCGCTCCCCCAAGGCCGCGAGGCGGAGAAGAGAAGACGCGAGGCCGTTCCCTCTCCTTCTCGGAGAAACATGCCGTCAACATTCCTGCCAAATGCGCCTCCATTTTTTTTAAAAATACGGTCATCCGTTCGAGATATCGCTGTCTGAGTGATGCTTTGGTGTTTGCAGCATCCCGTTGCACGCTTTTGCCGCGTGTTTTCGTCAATCCAGATTTCGGTTCAGCATCCCTTTAAAGACGCGACCAGCTGCTCTTCAGCAGGTGGCACGAGGGTTAGCTTTCAGTCAAGCAACACCGGGTGACGTGTACCGCGACACCACCGTGACGTCATGTCGCGGCCGCACAGCTGATGATGAGTTTCGACATCCCTCTCTACCAGATAGTTTCAGTTTAGCCTGCAGACGCCCGAAACTAAACTTTGAGACCTAATAATAATAATGCTACACACAATATCGAGAAAAAAATTATTGCTTGTAATTTAGGGACACTTACTGAGCTAATACCGTCGTAATCCCAAATTCAAGAATATTGACCGGAGTCGCCCTTTAAGACGCTTGTTCGGTTAATCTTTAAAAAATCCCTCCCCCCTTTTTATGTACAACGTGGTCCACCATGGCTTAATAAGTAACTTGGGAATTTCCATGTTAATCTCGAGACTCGGTTACTGGCAACGTTACTTCTTTGAGTGCGCAACAAATAACGGCACTTGCATGGTTACTTTTTGTCGGTAACGCGTCTGCCTGTCTCACAGCTGAAAGTGTTCCTGCCACGCGATGTTGGCCGCCCGTGCTGCCGCTGGATCTACCCGGCTGTGTTCGGCGGAGGCCTGGTGAGCGGCGACGTCATCGACATCGAAATCACGCTGGGAGCCAAGACTTGCGTCCTGCTCACCTCGCAGTCCTTCCCCAAGGTGAATCAGCTTCGATCTTCTTACGCGTCTTTTAACATGACCACATGAACACGCCACGCGTTATAGACGTCTGCAAGTCCAGCTTCTGGGCACCGCCATCTTTCTGCTGAGTGTGTAGATCGTGTGATAGTCAAGCCTTGCTAAGGTTTACCCACGGTTGCCAGACTAGGACCCCAACAAAGCAGTTTCTATCCGCAGTGGCCAGGCTATGCCAACACCGCCTAGAAGACATAGTCGTAGTGCTGACATTTTTGCGTCACCAGTGAAGGTCATCACTGAATAACACAGATTGGAAACGACTGCTACGTCAGCACTCGGCTTCGAGTCAAGTTTGAGCCGATCGTTGACGCAGTCGTCGTGTCCACACTCTGTCCAGCGTTGTTCTTCGCTAATGAAGACATCCCCATCTGTACTACGGCTTTGTTATAGGAGGTGTTGGCTATGCGGAGAGCAAGTCGTCTGCTTCTTGGGCAAGAGCTGTGGTGACATTAAAACGACGCCGAACTCCGATTGGCTCTGATTGAAAGGATATTGGGTAGCCCTCAATGCTAGATGCCTTCAGATTTATCCCCTATATTTTTCAATCAGCCAATGAGGGCCCAGCGTTCTGACACTATTGAAACCCCTGAGCAAGGAGCACGCTAACCTGCGCTCTGCATAGCTTTTGAAACGTGGCCACTTACAAACGTCTATACACTACAGCATGTGGAAAAAGATCTATGGGAGAGGCTTCGGCCACAAGATGGCTGGCGTGCCAGTGACTCTCATCTGGTAAACAAGTGTCCAGTGGCGTACCAACTTTTTTTTTAGTGTGTGTGTGTGTGGGGGGGGGGGGGAAGGGGGAGGGGCAAACCAGACCCTGCCCCTGCCCCCTCTCCCAGGGCCGGGGGGCGTTTCTTTGGTATCCCTTGGGCACCACCGGCCAGTGTTTGCCCTGCCCAGTGGCGGCTGTTTCAGGGGGGGAGGGGGGCAAAACACATGCCTTGCCCCCCCAACTCTGAGAACTGGGGGGGGGGGGGGGGGGGGGGGGGGCGGCAAGCACCTCCTTGCCCCTCCGGTTGGTACGCCCATGCAAGTGTCAGATGGGATACAGCACTGATCTGACAATTTATACATTATTATAATGTTTCGTTTTCAAAGAGCAGTATTCCGTGACTCCAGGAAGATGGTGTGTTTGGGGCAGAAACTGAAGGAGAGGAAGAGATGAGGGAGCGCGGAGACGACAGGGCGCCGAGCTCCGATTAGTGGCGATGTAAAGCAGTCGCGCGATGCGACTAGATCGCATCTAAAAAAAAGTCAGGCACACTGGCGTGCGCAATGAGCGAGTCGCTTCTCGAAAACTCTCGCTCCGAACGCCGATGATAAGGTTCAGCCGCTCTGCGACTACATAGTATCGCAAAAAGTCGGGTCAGCTAGCAACAGCTCAAATCGCGTCGCTTTTTTCGCGATGGTCACTTTTGCGACGAAAGCTATCGCGCGACTAGATCGCATCGCCGGTGCCAACGCCCATGAAACGAATTTTGGGCTGGAATGAATCAATTTATATTGGGATTTTACTAATAGCAGTTCGTTCAGTGGGCCAAAAGAAAAAGGGTAGAAAGCCAAGAGCCTGACTTTCGGTACGAAAATTTGAAAACACAGCGGACTATTTCGTACCTCCTTCCCTTCGTAAGCTCTCTGCCTTTTCACTGTGATACATCCGCGGTCCCCGCAGCGCGTCACCGGGCCCCCGCAGCGCGTCACTGGACCCAAATGCACGTCACACGACACCGGACCTCACTTATTCCCTTCACCCCCAAGCTGACATTGTGGTGGAAGCTACGCGCTTGCCGGACCAATCAGCCGCCTCCCTTTCATCACCTGACCTCATTCTCTGCGCGCTGGCATGCGCGAGAGAGCGTGATCACGTAGCAAAAGTGTGGCTGGCCAACGAGCAGATAGCTGAATAGATGGATGGATGTTAACTGCAGTAGCAATTATAGCAGGTGGTAGCTTGTGCCACCTATATAGCTTTAAAGAAATACACGCTTTCTTACCCCGCCCTTATCAGACAATTTCCTTCGCCTCTGCATTTTTTTAACTATCAGCAGGCGGTGTGCGATAACCCTAAATTGATCTTTTGGGGGATCGGGCAGAAAAGAAAAAAAAGTTCGAGGACACCTAAACATTTCTTATGAGTTGTGAATGCGAAAGCATGAATGTCGTTCTTCCGCTCCTTTAGTTCGTCTGCGGCGCAGTGGCGTGGGCGGCCACGTTTGGCCGGCCTACGGCCGAGCGCGCGCTCTCGTGAAGTGACCGCGGCGCGCTGAGCTCGGCCGTGCTGCCTCTCCGGAGTCTGCCCTGGCGGGCTCTGCGGCCAGGCAAGCGACGCCGCCGCACCTCTTACCGGCGACCGGACCGTTCCGTGCGCTGCGCCGCCATGCAAAGAGCTTCTCTGGTGGAGTTCTTTGGAACTATACACGCCGAACGAAAGCCAATGAGAACCTCGTTCCTTGATGACACGCGCCAGCCAATGGGAGCCTATCCATCAGATTTCTGCTGCAGACGACATATGGACAGGGGAAGGGGCCGTTTGGCGCGGCTTCAAACCTGATGAAGTCTGTTCGCTCCATGGTACTGTTAATGCTTTCGCATTAAAAAAGAAGAATCACGCACCTCCCGCTCTTTCTACCGGCGATGAAGTCACCAATTGTCCTTGGGCCAAACCTTGTCGACGTTTAGCCCAAAACCGAACCCACTTTGAGACACGGTTGAGACTTTGGGAGGATGCCAATTTTCCCGTCCCACCTGGCGATGGCACCCGCCAATGTTGCCTGATGGATTTTTAAGACTGGAATATTAGTTATTAACACAAATCTTTTTTTCAGTCATTTAAATTAGCCAGAAAATGTCCTCATGTCTAAAACCAGCCCCAATCCCTCTGTCGGCAGGTGTACGTGGCCGAGCCGGGTCGGGTGGCAGAGCAGCGCTGCCGCTTCTCGCTCTCCGACGGCGCTCTGCTGTGCGTGCTGCCAGACCTGCTGACCTGCTTTCGTGATGCCTCGTACCGCCAGGAGCAGGCCGTGCGCATGGCGGGTTCGGCCAGCCTCGTGCTGCTCGACTGGTTTCTGGCCGGACGCGTGGCCAACGGCGAGCGCTGGGACTTCACCAGGTATAGTGCGGCTACCCGGGATGCCCCCCTCGATACTCCAGTGTGGCCGCACCTATGGCGGAGGAAGTGAGAGGTGTCTGAGCGGCTCCGTCTCGCCATGGAACAAGCGTGTCGAAGGGGACACGTTGCATACTAGTGTGTACGCGCTCAGCAGCAAGACCAGCACAACGGCCGCTGATGTGATGTCACGGCAAGCCACGCATAGTCCCTGGCAGCATAAGAAGCGCAGGGCCAGAGTTTGGTCAGTCTATGATCTCGCCGCCGTACGCTTTCCTCCTGAGTGAGCCAATCAGCACGCGGCGCAGAGCGAGAGTCATAAGCGCGTGCGCGTGAGCTCCCGGCTGCTCCTGGCTGAGTGGGGAGGGCCGCCATTTTCGTTCCTTCTCCCGGCAGAATGCGTGGGATCGGCATCTAAATCTCGATTATTTCCTTTTATATCGCTGGCTCTGGCAAGAAAATGACATACTGTTATTCCTCGATGGGTTAAAAAGCTAATAAATTAAGATTTTTTCGGTGTATGGCCACACATTTTTATTCAGTCGAAAAAGAAGTCGGCCCGTAGCAGACGACCCGTAGCCTCAGGAGTGCTCTTCTCCGACAGCGTTAATTGCGAAAAAATGGCGGTCGTCTCTTCTTTGCTCCCTTCTTTCTCTCTCGCTCCTTCGGCGCTCTCCTCCCTTTCATTTACGTTTCTCCTCTCCGGCGGTTACCAGTTTTATCTGAAATTACGGGAAAGGAATTGTCACGTGGCCCAGACATATTAAAACTATCCGCGACAAAACGACATGACGTCGCGTGAGCTTTCCGACACCGCATCCGAAGCTCAAGATGTTGCATTTTTATCTATTAGCTCGTTTTCAAAAGTGTGCGCCATCTGATGGTTGCCGCGCCAATTATCCGAGTCCGCCATTGCTTGGGCACGCGCGCTCAAGGACACGAGTGCTGCGTCAACCCTCGGCAGAGACTCGGATCTAATCGCGCGTTTCGTGCCCAAAAAATGGCGACCGCCAATGTTGCTCGATGGAGTTTTGAAAAGTTTTCAAAATTGCACTCGCTCTCTACTGGGCAACAAAATGGCGGGTCACGCGAGGCAATCTAGAAATAGAGTGTCGATACTCTAATCTTTGCGTATTTAGCAGCCGTAGTCGCGCCGTGGAGACCGCGCAGACTTGTGCCGGTTATTTGAAAAATATTGTCACCGGTGGTGACCAAAAACAATAAATAAACAAGAAGAAATAAACGTTTAATGTGGCGAACTTGTGCCAAAAATGAAAGGGTACAAAAGGTAATAACAAAGCGTCGCGGGCGTCGAAGTCGGCGTGACAGCAGAGTCGAACCTGGGGCGAGACTGAATGCAGATCGCCACGCGGAGCCCTTATGTACACGTGTGGGCTTCTGGAATAATCGGCGTAGAGGGTTCGGCGTGTAGAACATTCCGACCTCGAACAAGCCCAACATGGTTCTCGAATTTACCAGAACATTACTTTACAGAGTCAACAAAAATGTGCCTCCCCAGCCAGGAATCGAACCCTGGCTCTCAGCGTGGAAAGCAAGCGCGATAACCGTTGGGCCACGCGCGCGCTGCCTTCATGGCCAGCTGCGCGCGCGGCATTACTCCTCCCTTTAAAAAAAGTGCATCGTCCCGATTCAACCCAAAAACAAAACAAAGCAAATAAAAAGGACGGTAAACTAAAGAGTCATTTGCAACACATAAGGTCCACAGTCCTATCGAGCGTAGTACGGCTTCAGTCGCACGACGTGGACGACTTCCGGTCGTGGAGGGCGGCGTGACGATGTCCGTGTTCCGTCGGGCATCACCTCGTAGTTCAGATCCTTGAGTCGACGAAGCACTTTGTAGGGTCCCAAGTAGCGCTTCAGGAGTTTCTCGCTGTGACCACGGCGGCGGATCGGTGTTCACACCCACACCCTCTCTCCGGGCTGGAAGTGGATGTCCCGACGGCGAAGGTTGTAGCGGCCAGTGTCGACACGTTGTTGAGCCTTAATCCGGAGTCTGGCGAGCTGACGGACTTCTTCTGCCCTTTGGGCAACCACCTGGGCGTCGTCGCTTGCGTCGACTGCCGGTTCGTGGGGTAATATAGCGTCCAGCATTGTCGTTACCTTGCGCCCATGCACCAGTTGAAAGGGTGTCACTCCGGTGGTCTCTTGTACGGCCGTGTTATAGGCAAATGTGACGTACGGCAACACCTCGTCCCATGTCTTGTGCTCCACGTCGACGTACATGGAGATCATGTCGGCGATGGTCTTGTTGAGTCTCTCCGTTAGCCCGTTGGTCTGCGGGTGGTACGCCGTGGTGCGACGAGGGCTGGTGTGGCCGAGACGAAGGACTTCTTGCGTCAGCTGGGCCATGAATGATGATCCACGGTCTGAGATCAGTACTTCGGGAGCGCCGTGCCGGAGGACGATGGACTCGATGAAAAACTTCGCGACTTCAACAGCCGTTCCTGATGGAAGGGCTTTTGTCTCGGCGTACCGCGTGAGATAATCGGTTGCGACGATGATCCATCGGTTTCCTCGCGTCGACGGTGGGAAAGGTCCGAGTAAATCCATACCGATTTGCTGGAATGAGGCAGATGGCGGCGCAATAGGCTGAAGAAGTCCTGCCGGTCTCGTCGGTGGCTTCTTCCGTCGTTGACACTCGTGGCAAGATCGGATGTAGTGGTGCACTGTCTTCGCAAGCTTGGGCCAGTAGTACTTTTCGCGTATCCTGGCAAGAGTCCTGCTGTAACCAAGGTGTCCCGCCGTCGGGTCATCGTGGCAGGCTTGAAAAATTTCTTCTTGAAGACTGGAAGGGACCACCAACAGCCACGCCGTGCTGTTGTCGCTGAAGTTCTCCTTGTAGAGCACACCTCGTCGGATGGAGAAGGTTGGCAGTGTTCGTACAAAACCGCGCGGAACGGCGCTTCCTTGTCCCTCTAGGTGCTCGATGAGTGCTCGCAGCTCAGGGTCGTCTCGCTGGAGTGATGCCATGTCGCTGACATCCAGAGCGCCGAGGAAACACTCATCGTCGTCCTCTTTGGTGCAGGAAGGACCGGCCTCGACTGGGGCTCTCGACAGGCAGTCGGCATCATTGTGCTTCCGGCCGGACTTGTACACCACGGTCATGTCGGTTTCCTGCAGTCGTAGGCTCCACCGAGCGAGGCGTCCGGAGGGGTCCTTCAGATTCGCCAGCCAGCAGAGCGAGTGGTGGTCTGTGACCACGCGAAAAGGAGTTCCATACAAAGATGGGCGAAACTTTGTTATTGCCCAGACGACAGCGAGGCACTCCTTTTCAGTCGTTAAATAGTTCCTCTCCGCGTTAGACAGCGTCCGACTTGCGTATGCGATAACTCGCTCTGCACCGTCCTGCACTTGGACTAGTACCGCACCCAGTCCGGTGTTACTGGCGTCGGTGTGGATCTCGGTTTCAGCAAACTGGTCGAAATGGCCAAGAATCGGGGGCGTCTGGAGTCTTCGTTTGAGCTCGTCGAATGACGTTTGGTGTTCTTCTGTCCACTCGAACTTTATGGCGTCCTTCGTGAGGTGTGTCAGCGGTGCAGATAGTTTGGCGAAGTCTCGAACAAAGCGCCTGTAATAGGCACAGAGTCCGAGAAATCTTCTCTTTTTGTCAGACGGCGGCGCAAATGCAGCTACGGCGCGGGTCTTCTCGGGGTCAGGTAGAACACCTTTGTTGTTCACGACGTGGCCGAGGAACTTTAGTTCCCCATAGGCGAACCGACACTTTGTTGGCTTGAGTGACAGGCCGGCGGTCTTGATGGCTTGAAGCACGGCTCGAAGTCGTCTGAGGTGTTCGTCGAAATCTCGTGAGAATACCACGACATCGTCCAGGTAGATGAGGCAGCTCTGCCATTTCAGACCTGCCAGCACGGTGTCCATGACGCGCTAAAAGGTGGCTGGTGCTGTACAAAGTCCGAACGGCATCACTTTGAATTCGTACAGTCCGTCGGGAGTGACGAAGGCAGTTTTCTCCCGGTCACGTTCGTCGACTTCAATCTGCCAGTAACCACTCTTCAGGTCCATCGACGAAAAATATCGGGAGTGGCGCAGTCGGTCTCACGTATCGTCGATGCGGGGAAGCGGATTGACGTCCTTCGTCACAGCGTTCAGTCGACGATAGTCCACGCAGAACCGCAGGGTCCCATCCTTCTTCTTTACAAGGACGACTGGGGACGCCCATGGACTTCTTGAGGGTTGAATGATGTCGTCGTCGAGCATCTCCTGGACTTGATCTTGAATCACTTTCCTTTCCTTTAAGGAGACTCGATACGGCGACTGGTGGACAGGGAGTGCGTCGTCGTCAGTAATAATGCGATGTTTCAAGTCAAGTCAAGTCAAGTCAAAGTCAAGTCAAAAGTCTTTATTTTCTCTCCGTTTGGAGAGGGGAGGCAGAGAAAAAAGCAACTCAGTGTTGCTTGACGAGCCTCTGCCCCCCTCCCTACAGCAGCAGAAAAAAAAATATGTACACGTACACAAACTCATACAAATTGACAATCTCTACACCAATAAAACGAAAATAAGTGAGCTAAATCCCCTCCCTACCGCAGCAGAGAGAGAAAAAATATATACACGTACACAAACTCATACAAATTCACAATCTCTACACCACTAAAAAAAAAGAAAAAAAGTGAGGTAAATCGTACAATCGATTCATACTTTAACTATTCCAGAACGTGTTTAAGAAAATCATTAACAAATACAGAAAGCACGTCCTTCCGAGTTCCACTTAAAATATTTATATACAATTCACTGCAACAATTTAAAAGGCGCGGTAGTGCATATCTCAGCATTTGATCGCCGTAATTGGTCCTGGAGTGCGGTACTGCCCACGCATCTTCAGAACGAGTGTTGTAGAGCGTTTCCCTGAACTGAAGATTTGAGATCGATAAAAGTAAACGGTTGGTACAAAACGACTTTTTATAGGCAAGGGCTAATTTGTAACTATAGTGACTTGTAATTTGCACAATATTAAATTTTTTAAACAA